ACTAATATTTTTAAGTTTCCCCATTTTTTGAGCCTCCAAAACATTTTTAAAATCTCTAACAAGTGCTTTTGCTCTTGAAGACCAAAAAACTTTTTCAAAAGAATCAGTATTGTCTCCAAGCTTTTTCATAAACTCTCCACACTTTCTATTAATACCTCTTATATAAAGCCATTCATTTTTAAAGTCTTTTGCATATTCTGGGATTTTTGATTGTTTTTGAGTTGAGCCAGAAATAATAACAGGCTGAGCGAGACTACCCATTTTCATAACTACTTTGAATGTTATCGAGTCCTTTCGACCGTAGATAGTTATAATGCAGTTGGGTTCCAATGACTTAACAGACTCTGACCCTTTACATGTTGGCTCAGCTATTGAAGATTTTGTTAGGCTCTTGCATGACACCTATGGTGTTAAGGTTGTCTGCGTGTGCCAGACCATCATGCGCCAGGGCGCAGTGGTCTTTAATCGTAAGGCCAAGCTGTTAACGAAATACCTTCGGGTAGTTTTAGAGCCTATACCTTATGCTATCTTTTGGGGCCATAGGGGGTTTTGGCGCCCGACTCAGAACTCTTACGCACGTGATGGTGTGCATCTCAATTCCTTTGGTCAGAAAAAATACCATCGTAGTCTTAGGGGAGCAATCCTAAGGTCCTTGAGCCTGTTCAGCACAGTTTCGTCTTGTTGAATTTTCAACGTTTCATTTCATTTCCCAGTCGAGCCTTTTAAAGTTTACGTACTTGCCTCGCCATACCTTTGTTTTAGTGACAGCCGTTTATGTTACTGACTTGCCGCCTTTATTTAATTGGACGCATTCTATTTTGGCTGCACTCATTGTTCTCTCAGTTCTACAGAACTGTTGTTTGTCTTCCGTGCATAACAGATTGCATTTGCTGGCGTTGGCATTATCCATACTTTTTGTCCTGGTGAATATTATGAGTGTGCAATCCTATTCGACCGCCCTATTTGGGTGTGTCCTCAATGCACTTTGATATTCTTTTACCAGGCATTTATGTCACCCAATTCTTACTACATGGCTCGCCATTTGGTTTTCAGCAGAGTTCGGTTATTCGTCACCATTATGTGTGCGTAGCTTAGCCACATTACCGTTTGTTAAACAAAAAACAAACAAACAAACAGAAAACAAAACTTAAGGGAAAAATAAACTTCCCGGCTCAGACCTTTAATTAATTTGCTCCTCTTTGACTCATACCGTTTTGATATGTTATCTTATCTTAGCGGAAACATATAGCATTTAGCCTTATCTTAATCTAATTACTTTTACTTAACTAAGTTATGCCTCCTAAGCCGAAGCGCACGTCTCAAACACGCACGCGAAGTTCTATAAAGCGACCACGTGTAACAGAGCTGATTGAAACCCGCCCTGGCCTAAGTGATCAACAACAACCTGCCACTTCGACAGAGCAGCCTCTCGTGACTGTCAACATGCAGGCCCTCTCGGCATCCATTTCTAGCGCAGTACAGCCAGCTGTCGCGGAGGCAATGAAAGCGCAATGGCCAGCCGCACCCAGCCAGGAGACACAGTCCTCCACGGACCAGTCAGTGGCCAATATAGTGAACACATCCTTGGCCGAGATCACCCAAGATAGCATTGTTCAAGGAACTTTCACCCCAAGCAGACGAATTGCCAGCAATAGTGCCCGAGATTCTTTTGCCGAAGAGTTGGTCGCTAACTTGGAGAGTTTCTTGAGTTCTGTATTGGCGTCAGGTTCGGGCACGGGCTCTGCTTGCGTCTTGGTGGGGGTGCCACACTCTGTGGCTCTTTGGCGGTTTTTTCCCCCACCTTTGCTGAAGAGATATTTAGTTTATTATAGATTGGCAGATCTTGAAAATAAAGTTCGTCACCTTTGGTGGCAAAATTTTCTCCAACCAAATGCGACTCTGTGTTTATCTCCTCAGAAAACAAGTGCGCCGCCACGCAGAGCCCTTGGTCACGCAATGCAAGGTTTTCAGCGTTCTTCTTACCGAAAAAATGGCTTGATATAAAATCTTGTTTTGTAATATGTCTTCAGTTTCCCCCGCCTCGATTAGTTTATAAGCTATTTCCGGGTGAAAAAGTAATGTAATTAGTTATTTTCCAGTTTTCAATAAACTTTGTTGTTGTTGTTGTTGTTTTTCAGTTAATTACATAAGTTTCAGTTTCTTTTTTTTTTCTTTCTTCTTTTCCTCAGAAGATGCAACATTTCTCAGCCTTGACTGAATATATCAAATATGAGAAACGGTGTTCCATCCGATATCCAACCACCGAGAAGTAATATGGAGGTAATATGTCACACACGAGAAGAGGTGTTTCTGACATTTAACATCCATTTTTTTTCTTTTCTTTTCTCTTTTCTTTTTATTCTTTACACCGACTTCTAAGGGGTGTAAATATCATATAAAACACTGAGAGGAGATAATAATCAGTCTTGAAGAAGTTCAAAGGCAAGTTTGCAGAACTTTTATGAGGTAATTATGATCCGAAATCCAGTAGTGATTTCCTCTGTTTGTCTTCATCAATTGTTTATAAGTTTGAGAAAACTTTTACAATCCATTTCAGGCTAGTCAACATGTTACTCAGTGTTAGTATCTACAAGCATGTCAAGAACAAACGGGAATGCTATTCGCAATCAGGTTTGTGAATGCACCTTTAACCTGAAACAACTTTCTCTCCAGAGCTGCAGACTTTTATAACCCATCTTGTAATCTTCATGTCAAACAGCTATTTTCGTCTCGATGGATGAATATCTATGAGGGATGGTATAGGCGCACAGGTGTCAGCACCACCCGCTTTTGGCACCTCAGTTCCTTTTAATAAGCCCCCCTACAGCCGCCCTTTCATCTCTCACGTCCCTTTCATCGCTGTCCCTCGCCAACCCTCCATTCGTCGCAGTATATGAACTGTCGTACACTGGTTATTTTGACTGAGTTTCTTGTACGTCGTCTATGAGTATTTACATTTGTCAATCTTGTGGTATATACACGGCAGGCTGAGAGGTAACGGATGATGTGGCCTTATCAGGTGGATACAAATACGATTGTTGTATGTTCCTGTCAAATAGCGACCATCAAGTTCTTATTCAAGATCTCGAGATAGTCTGTCCGTGAATACTGAAACACTCTCCAATTTGTCCCCGACGCCAACAGGAACTAAAAAAATGTTTCAGTATGGATAATCCCAAACCAGACTGATTTGTGTAAATATTGACTACAGTCCACTCTCTATAAGAGAGACACCTCTATAAGACGAACACCTCCCTAAAACGGACACCTACAGTTGGTCCCTGTCTTTCTTTACTCCCTTAATTTGACTATCTATAAGACGGACATCTCTCTCTAAGACGGACACTTACTGCCGGTCCCAAATGTGTCCGTCTTAGAGGGAGTTGACTGTTCTTCCTTTTTCTAGGAATTAATTCATTTTTAAATCACTAAGAACCAAAATCATGTAATACCCAAAACGAGGTTAAGAAGACTCTGCGCCGACCATGTGATTGCTTGCACGTGTTTGAAACCGATGGCAGGATTACACTTAGGCTGTCTTCAAAGTTCTTCTGTTTAGGGAATAGCCATTAACGCTGGGTCTTGCTCACAATATTTAACAAAGCTCTCCAGAACCTTAAATCGTAATAAAAAGAATTATACTCTTTATTAAGTAACAATAGCTGAACTGGCCGAAGCCAAAGGTTACTCTTGAAGGTCAAAAGAATCGTAAAATCGTGGTTCGAAGATGTGGTAAAAAAGGGTAATGCGTCATAAGCGAGGAGCCACATTTTCATGAAACGAAAAGAGCAACAATATTTTAGTTTTTTAGTTAGAGCATTGTTGAAGTCGTTTCAACAGAACTTGTAAGTTGAATTTCAAATTATTCAAAGTAGATTCATGGCAAAATTTGCCAAACGAAAGGCAAACAGGCTATAAAGTGACCGTCTAGTCAACAAGAAAAACTATCGGTAGGGGTTCAATAATGTTTTTAAAATAACATTTGGGTTTTCGAAGATAGCAGTGGCCTGTCACATCAGTATGAACCCATTAAACCTGATTCAAAACCCGGACAGCTGCCAGCGTTAATTCCACCGGATACATCACTGTCCTCGGGATACGTATTAAGGAAACCAGTTGCACAATCCACTGGATAGAGATTTATCCAGTGGGTAGCGTTATAAACCTTTTGAGCAACTGAGCGCTGATCGCGAGGGGTGAAAGTGTATCTTATCTCTCCACTCTTGGGTGATCTGGCTTGGGAAGTTCGAAATTCGTACTGAATGTTAAAGGACACGCAAACGAGAGATTAATTCGTTTAGTTCGGCTTAAACAGATTTATCGCTGAAAACTGATTAGGCGACGTTTTTGCAGTAAAACGTGATGTATAATAAAATCATCAGTCTCTTGGGGACCGTGTAATCACTTTTTATCGCTTTGAATTAGCTTAGAACTTGGCTACGGTACTGGCCATACGGCGGAATTAATTTGTGAGTGCTTCCTTGGTGTTTTAGTTTGGTGTAGTTTGGATCGTTTGTTTTGTTTTCTTTGTTTTTTTTTTTCCTTTATACAGCTACCGTAACTCTCCATAACAATAACTGAAGACGTTTTGACAGTAAGATATCCGAAAAAACGTATAACCACGGATGGACAATCCAATCTAGTAATAGTCTAGACGCCTCCCACACAGACGCTTTCAGTGGAGCTCATCTTTCATTCCTCCCCTAAAAAATTTATGTCAGGGTATGGTAATCACATGATAACTCGCTCGGTCAGGCTGTACCAGGTACTGCAAATCTAGTCAATGAGGTTATAGGGCGGTGTCATGCTTAAGTAATTAAGTATATTGAGCTATCATTTTACTAATGCAGTCCATTCCAGTCCAGTCTGCGAAATACAGTGTGCCTTCTCTCCCTCGTCATCAACTTGGCTGGATCTCGAGCAAAATCTTTTCAGGCAAGTGATTCCTTTTGATTATATTCTCTTTTATTTTTTCCTCTTGCCACCAATCCGTGTTTTTATTCTGGGCCATTCGCCGTCTGCACGATTTTCTTCGCCGCAATTCTAATACGCACATTGCAGAAAATTTTAGTTTAGATGGCGATCTGCTCATAAGATGGCATGGGATTGGAGGTAGAACAGTTTCTAAAACTAGCGAGAGCAGTTATAAAATGATGCTTTCCAGACCAACTCAAACTACTTTTTCCCGGTTGTTCCCGTTTCTTCCCCTGTCATTCGTCATAAAAAATTTTCCTGTTTAATTTCTGTTATTATTTTCGTACTAAAATCCCAATTTTCAATTTAACAAAAAATTATAACAGAAATTAATCGAAAAAGTTATTCCTTACTAAAATATTAAACTAATTACTGGAACAATAATTTTTACTATTAATTTCTGTTTTTAAAAAATATTTTAAAATTAAAATTCCAATTTCATCAAGAAAACAATGAAAAAAATACAAAACAATTTGATATAACACATAACAGAAAAGTAACAAAAATAATCGGGAAATAGTAGTAAGAGTTTATCTGGAAAGTATCATTTTATAACTACTCCTACAAATATACGATAATTTACATAACACTTTAAACAGCTGTCTGTTTTGACAGAGTTGTGAATATTTAAATCAGTTACAGAAATATTAGAACCAATTCACTTTTCTTTACACAGACACAAGCACAAATGTGCAAACAGAAAAATGAGTTTATTTCTCAAGTGAGGATTGTGATAATATTTACTTGGTTCGGAAAAAATAAAATTGATTTTTAAAATTAAAAGCTTAAAGAAAAGAAATCATTCAACAAAGTGAGTTTATCACGAACATTTTCATCAACATCATCCGACAGTGATTACGAAGACATTGTTTTTATCTGATTCGAAAATCACACGGAGATTATAGAGATGAACCATTCTATTACGTTGGTATTTCTGATGAAGAACTTCGTCATCGTTTAAACATAGAGTTTGAGGAAAAGGTTAATTGGGAAAGATATGATATTGGTTTTTGCGAGGAAGATATTAATTTTGTTGCAAAGAAATATATCAAAATTAAACCATGGAGTGTGCTCGACTCAATGATTAAAATTTTTAAAAGGCAAAAATCGTTTGATAAAAAGCATAAATAGTTGTTAACACCAAATCAACATAAATTCAGTTTTGTTCTTCATGATTAACCGTACAGTAAATATTTTCATGAAAGAGATTATTACTAGCCCTTCGGGGCTGTTTTTATGTCGCTCCAAACAGTTTTTTATCATTATGATACAAACTTTTTATTCTTTTCTAATAAATTAGGGTCGATATAAAACTTTTCTCATTTTAAGAGTTAAATTCGGATTGGAATAGGACAAAGCAAAAGATCATTACATTGATTTCATAGGTTTGTATTTGAAGCAATAAAAGGTGTTATCCCCGATGGTTTTGAGATAAAAGATACAAATTAATGCTGTTAAAAATGACAACAGACTAAGTAATCTTGAATTAGTCACTCACAAAACAAAATATT